TAAAGAATTTGACGCGTCAGTCAAGTAGTCAACCATGTGTGCAATTTTACCGTACTTTGTTAATTGCGGGAATTCTATGTAGGAGTTTTGAATTAACACTAGTTCCCAGTAAGTTAGCATGACCATTTAGATGTTGAAAGGACTAGGAAATCCTGTATTGCCTTCAAACGATGGTAATGTTTGATTACGTCCTGCGATGACTGGACATGATAGGAACGCTGTAGAAGCGTTCTTATATCGTTGATGTGACATTTTTGATTATAAAATTAAGATATATGTACATACTACGCCAAATAAACTGTGTTCGTTTATAAAATACAGTATTCTAACAAAAACACTCAAGTTCAATGCTCTTTCTCCAAAATAATTGTCGGAACTAATAACAATTCGTTTGAACATAATTTGTGGCCAGGCTGCGTTCTATCCTTCGACGTTGGGAAAAATGGGTTGCGTGTGGGTACGGAATGGATTGCTTCGGTATGGGTAGCCTATAAACATGAACATTAGCACCGCCTACGTGATAACTGGCGTACAGAGCTCGCTCTGTGCTCGCGTTAGACGCTACCCACTAAACGTACCAACTAACTGTACATAGACGGTAATTGTTAACGTTTTTTACAAGTCTATTTGAATTAATAATTTTACTACGAATAACTGCTATCTTTTATTATGTACGGAAGCAATTTTATTTCTATCTTTTATGAATTGAACCTCATAGATTGCTTCATCTAAGTTTGATTCTTATGAAATATCAAATTCGAAACTAGGAATTGTCCCGAAAACTTGAGGTATTATAAAAAAATTATTTACGTGTTATGATAATCTTCCATGTTCCTCATATCTGATGATAGTAATCATCTTTATCCATTAAGTTATGAAGAAAAAATCCAGTATCAGTCGCAACTGAATCACTTTCATTAGACTTATTGAGGAAACAACGTCAATCTGAACTAGATGAAGTTGTTAGAAACATCACACTTTGTATTCAGTGCACGTGCGTAATTGAATCTATGCTGTCAATGGTACGGACTTTAATAACATCTTCAAGGCATAATAACTGGCAGATACCTGCCTTTACTAGTTTACAAAAAAATAAAAAAACGCTTGGATGATTCTGAAAATAGAATAATTGGTGATCAAGTGTGGGTAATTACCTTTCAGTCTACAATTTTAACGTTTGTTTGATAATATTTCATTACTAATTAATTAAATGACTATGTATGGAGTATAATTGCATTATATAAAAAACGTCGTATCTGGCTATCCCAGATTTCTTAAGCGTCAAGATTAACACATCAGTTTCAAATGGACGTAAAATTTAAAGACGAGAAACAGCAAGGCAATTTAGCTGTACTTTTATTTCCATAGTAAAAGTACAGCTTAACGACTCGTTTTCTTAACGTAAATACTTGCTACATTTGTAATGTAAGGAAGTATATTTTTAACTTTTCATAAATACCGCTTGAACACGATTCCGCACTGATCCAGGTTCAAATAAATTTGAACCATAACTTGTGACTAGAATTGTATGCAACTGTGTTATGCAGATTAAACGATTTTCAGACCTCATAGGAAACAGTTGTGTTACAAACTGAGGATTCTAGCTGTTTGCTACAACTACTACATTTAGTTTATGTTAGTACTCTCGTTTTCGCAAAGGCATAAAATACTAGAATTGATAATGCTATGTCAAAAGTAAATTCTATATTATTTTAATAAATGGCCATATTGTGAGGTATTTCTGAGCAGAGAATTGAGCCTAGCTGGTAAATACTGTTATACAGTACGAAGCACGTACGACACATTTGTAGGTAACACGACTGTGTAAAGTTTAACAGCATTGTTAAAAATATTACAATGTTTTGACAAGTTCCATGTTCCTGTGCACGTTGTATCTATACTACTATTATAAAGATGTTTTGTATATATTGAAATAACTCAAAAAGTACCGGGCCTATTTTATAAATTCTTTCACCAATAAAAAGTTACGTTATCAGTTGGTGACATAGGCTGTTTTCATTTTCACGCGGGCGTAAACGCAAGCAACAGTTAGTTACTTTATAAACTCGTGGTTTGGATAATGACAGCGGATAGACGAGCAGAGTGCAGTAACCGTGTTTACGAGGCAATGCATTCATCATATCTGCATATTTGCAAGAAGCAGGTGTTTATAGTAGCGGTAAAACAAAACATTATTTCTTCAATTGTTGTACTGTGTAACGGACAAGCAGCAAGTCACACGAACGTGCGATATCCAGAGCGTTCCGCAAGGTCATGCAGTCGCCGTCGCTCGTCACGCGTTCCTCGATATTGCGCGGAGGGTAAGTCATAAGCGGAAGCGGGTAGATCGCGGAGTAGCTTTGATTGAGGTGCGGACGACAGATTATTAAGTAGATATTATTATTTATAATGCAATAACTTTGGAAAATATCACCTTTAATACAATTTATTAAAGGATTTCGTAATACCCATCATAAATTTTAGTTACAAAAATCCATGTGATATATTTTGTTATTTAAAGCAATGGGGTCATTTAAAACACTTTTCTGAATATTCAAATTGATTTCTAATAAGTATTAAATTAATGTACTCATGGTAACTCAAAAACAAGTGAGGCAATTTTATTATAATCGCTGTAAGCTATTGAATTGCGCCACCCTGTTCTGGACATAGTTTAAACCGTAATAAATAGCGGAGAAATACGAAACCGTAAATGATTTTTGTCACGATCATGCGCAAACGCAACATGCTGGATCAGCGAACTGTCGATGTCGCCTCACAATTAGTAATTTAGTTCAACATTCATATAGCTGTAGTAGCTGTTCCCGTGCGGCTTCATCCGCATGAAATTATGAAAATTCTATTTCATTGTTTACATTACATTTGTCAAATTACCAATAACAAATGTCAAAATGACATGACCTGACAAACCTTGGCAAACTTGCTTCGTTGATATTGGCAGCAACTTATAGTCTCTTTTCCACATTAAGATTTTTATCCAAAATATTTACCCCCAAAGTTTAATGGCGTGAAAATATATAGCCTTAAGCGTGACGTAAGTGTAAGGCTTTTTATTAAAAGAAGGGTCATTCAAAAATATGCTGTAACTGCTGACATCTTAGGCAACAAAGAAGTGTGTGTTTACGCTTTATTATAATAGTATAGATTAAATTAAGTAGTCATATTAATAAAACTAAGCTGTAAGTGAATTTAATTACCAAGAGACTACAAAGAATTCAATTTTGACTTGTAAACTAAGAGCGCACAACTTTTGTACGATTGTCGATTGTTTCGCAGTCAATTCAACTGTTTAGTTGCACAACTATATATCGTGTATACGCACCATACAAGCTCATAGGAATCAAAGCGCGACTAAAAAGTTGTGCGGTTTAGTCAAATTATTTTGGATAAAATCCCTAATGTGGGAAAGAGACCACAGGTTGCTGCCAAGATCAAGGAAGCAAGATTGCCATGCTTGTCATATCATGTCATTTTGATATTTGCTATTAATATATTTTAAAAAATTTTCAAAACTTTATGCGGATGAAGTCGCAAGGGAACAGCTAGTCTAAGTATAAATTTATCCTATCGCTGCGTCATCGCTGGCTTTCCGTTGAGCAATAAAGTTAATTCACTTATAATATCACAAACTCAGGTTCAATTGAAACAGCATTACATTGACCACCAAATAATGATGATGTTCGATGATAGGTTTCACGCAAATCACTCCGATCTTCACATAGCAATTTACAAAGTGTGCCATGTGTTACCTTAGTGTGGCAATCAGCGGTTGGTTTACACTGTCGAAACGTCCTAAATCTTTATCTATCGACTGTTCCCGTGCGACTTCATCCGCATGAAATTATGAAAATTTTATTTTATTGTTTACATTTGTCAAATTATCAATTGCAAATGTCAAAATGACATGACAAACCTTGACAATCTTGCTTCCTTGATGTTGGCAGCAACTTATGGTCTCTTTCCCACAAAAGGATTTTTATTCAAAATATTTACCCCCTAAGTTTAATGGTGTAAAAATGTATAGACTAAAGCGTAACGATGGTGTAGGGCTTTTAGTTAAAAAAAAGAAAGTGTGTGTTTACGCTTTATTATAATAGTATAGATTTAAAGGAAAGATTTGTAATTTTGTATGTATTTAATTTACGTAAAAACTACTAGGCCTATTTAAAAAATTCTTCCACCTTTCAAACGGTAATTTAACTGTAACATAGGTTGTCTTTTTATTACTTTTAATTTCACGCGGACGAAGTCGCAAGCAACAGCTAGTATCTTATGTAGTTAATATGAAGCCGTTATTTGCAATTTTTATTACACTATATGTCATCACAAGGTACTTTATAGTGAAAATTTGTAACAATTACAAACAAGTGTAATTATTTTTAATGTACATAAAATGACTTGTTATTTCAAGATGAGTAAAAACAGTTTTATTTAAGTAAAAGCGACAAAACGCTCGTCATCGTATCCTAGATTTCTTCCTCTTTATTTTTAGTTAAGATACAAACATTTTCCATAAATTAAAATTTAATAATAAATGTAGCAAACGTTATAAATTATTTGTAATATAAAGAAATGGCAATATTTTCTCTTTATAACATACTTTTGCCTGCGACTTTAGCGACATATTGAAGAAAATCTTAGTAGGTAGCCTATGTGTTCTTCCAAATCGTGATCCGTTAACTAGTCTTGAAAATACCAACTATCAAACATCAATCCAAACTTTTGCATCAATAAAATTAATTACGAAATATCTTGGATAATGATAAAAATTATGCACATTTTATAAGGTAACAGTAATATAATAAATGCGTACAGCTAAACCTTCCCTTGACTTGGTCAGCCAACCTTATAGCGGCATTTCTTCGACCGTGACTGGCCTCGAAAATTATTGAGCGAATTACAAATAATTATACGCGATATTAGACCGTTACTTAGTCATTCGCACTGCGGGTAGTGTTTCAAAAATCTATCTAACTCACCGACTTAAAATCCTTTGAATCGATACCTGGAAATAAAATAAATACAATTAGTTAAGTTGAAAGCGGTTACGGTCAAAGGCAAGCGTTAAGTGGCTCGGATCACATACAGTTACCGTAACGAGCAAAAACTTCGAAACGGGAGCGGGTCAGCCGTGTCACATCACTAGTTCACTAGCTTAGCGAACTAGTGATGCGACAGTATCATCGATGTCGATAGACACACAAAGAATCACAAGGAAATAATAATCACGCTTCGCATGTTAAAGAAAAAACAATACAATAATTACAACACTGAGGGATTAAAAATAAAACCCTGCTTTCTATTATAAGAATATATCACAATGATAATTTAAAACGAAGACTCTCAACGGCAATCTAAACCAAAGAAACTCTACTTTTACTATAAAAAGCAGAGTTTCTTTGGTTTAGAATTAAAAGTAAAAAAGTAATTAAAAAGAAGACAAAGCAACGTATCGGTTTATTTAATTCGGGTACATCGATAACTAAGTCAACGGTCACAACACTATTCAATTCTGGTTATCAATTTAGATGAATTGACATAACAAGATTGAATGTCCGCAGCCATACATCACGAAATCAGATCGCTACGGCTCTCTTTCATACGCCAAATAACAAAAAGAGACAAATCTATTTCGCAAAGTTTGTCAGTGATAGATTAGGCGTTTCAGCATTCCTTTCATGGTTAACAAGAAATCACTGACCAGGTTAATATAAATTAGCGAAGCTAATTTTTTACATCGTAAGCTCCTACCACTTAATTCTGACTGTAAATTAACTTAGATTTTCTTGCCTAATTTGTCTGAAACACGTAAATAGATAAAACACTAAAGGCTTGTTCCACCACTGGCTGATAGAGGTTCAGATAGCTTAATGACGTCACTGTCAAGGTAACAAAATCCGACATTTCCATCACATATTTTACATGGATGGTTATCAGACAATTTACAATTTGGTGGGACAGGCCCTAAGCGTACCAAAAAAGAATACCGATTTCCAAACAAAATGCACTAAAAGATAGAAAATTAAAGGTGATATAATTAAGGAAGTGATTGATTTGACCAGTAGAGCTAACTCGCGGACCAATACTACCAAAAACTGGTACGCCGACCCCGCATAAATTGGTATAAGATATACTTCTAAAGAATTGATTGAAGTTTCTTCGAAGTTACATTAGAGATGGCAAGATGTTATCGATGCAGAATTGCAACCGTGGGAAACTACCGACCTTGTTTACGTAATGCTTGTATACGTTAGTTCACACAGATATTTTTATCAAGTTTTTTATTTGGCTTTTTAACAGTGCATTATAATTTGGTTTGTTTTTCTCACACTGAGGTTTCCCTTTCAAACAAGGTCTTAAGTCTTAACAATTGCTACCAAAATTTCTCAAACTTCGTTTAGTTTTTTTTACATGAGTACATAAAATAATACACAATGTTTATAGTTTCAAATACAACATTTTGATTTACATTCAAATAGCGCTGATGTCCATAAATGCTCGTAGAACATTGGGGTCTTCACAGAACCTAGAGAAGTACGATAGCAAGAAATTTGGTTGAAGGTTATCAAGAACTGTAGCAACTACTCTCGCCCCAGGATGAAAAAGGGAAGTGAATTTGGTAGGGGATTGGACGTTTAGGTAGGAGATATCCTCTTTCTGTTCGCCCTGTCTCTGTTGATTGAAGGTATGATTTGCTTATCAAATGCGGATGTCTATAGGAAGCGGTTCCTTCTCTATTTTGGTAAATTCCGTTGGCACTATAATAACCAATCAAATAGTTTAGGAATCATTTGTTTAGCTGCTTTTAAAAGGTATTCATAAACGTTTAAAATCCGGAGTCAATAAACATGATCACAGTATGTGTGACCAATTCCCGTAACATACCAGCATACTGGAACTTTATCATATTCTAGATTATTCTACGCACGTACCAGTTTGTCCGGGAGGCGGTCCACTAACGGCCGCGCGACACAAACGCGCGACTATTAAGCCAATTACGAGCGCAGCGGCGGCGAAAAAAAACGCTCGCTCGCACGCGCTATGTGTGCCACTGTGTCGCCATGATTACTGAAAAGCGCGGGACAATTATGGAGGGATATCATGTAAATAAATAAATGAGCTTTAATCAAGACTACATTACTATAATAGGATGGTTAGAGACATTATGAATATGTATACCTTAATGGAATATAAACTTAGCTTCTTCGAGTCAATAGATTTTATACTGTCTATATATACACTATATATGTCTGTATATATACTGTCTGTATATATTAGTCAATTGTAAAAACAATCGATTTTTTGCCTTCAGTTAATAATAATTCTTAATATAAGTTTTTCACCTAATAGGCCTTGTTTATGCGAATAGAAAGCGTTAAAAACGTTCAATTTCTTATTCAAGAACCATTATTTTAAACACAAACTGAATTTCAAAACATTCCGATAAATTATAAAGATATTTCCAAATTATAAATCAAACTGCGAAAATCGAATAAAATATGCTTAATAACACTTTTCATTAATATGTATTAATGTAATTATTTTACATGTCCCGACTTAATATAAAATAATGGTCACCATATGTCGACAGCTTTACCGACGGCGAAAGTGGACGACGCGACAAAAACTATAACGACTTCACATTTCAGCAGAATATTTTTTTCATACTCGTATTCAGGATTTTCATTCATGGCCCAGGTCATTCATGGTCATTTCGATTGAATAAAATTTTTATTTGATAGATGTTTGAGAATAGCCTTCTAACACTACGCAGAATCTTAACATTACTTACAGTAACTTTGCTCATATTCCGTACCTAAAGCTAGTATGTTAATGGCAGCAAGTTAACAGTACTTACAGAAATACCATAAGCAATGTACACAATGCAGTGGGGCCACGTAACTGACGGCTATAAAAGTGCTCGGCACGCGCACTGGGTCAATCCGCGCGACTAATTTCACCACACGAACGCACGAAGAGCGGACAGACTGTTAGCGGATAGCGGAAAGATGAAAGAATGTGTCTAAAAATTAACTTGTTTCATATTTATATATATTTAAGTCGAAAAATGTTGATATGCAGAGTATGGAAATGTTTTTTAACTATTAAAATAAATGTGGGTTTGATATTTTGTTGTTATTTTTTCTATTTTCAAGCTTAAAAATGAACTATACAGTCGCAGTGCAAAGCAGACTTTGTATTCAGTTTGGATTTCGCTATAATTTTTTTTGTTGATATATTCATTTTAAACAACATACACACGTGGCTTGCAACAAAAACAAGTAAATGCAAGTAGGCGCCATCACAAATCGCTCGTCACTCCCCGCTAACAGTCCGCCCCCACGTGGCGCCATACTAAAATAGCCCCGCCGAGTCGATGCGTATGAGTGATGTGGGTAGACAATTTCGGCGTTATGCGACCGCGTCACGACATCTCATTGTATGTCACTAGTTTTTAACTGTTACTGTCTAACAATATGGAGTAACTGACATAATTAATTACTTTGATTTAGATCATTAAGAAATACTATGCAATTTTAACGCAATGCGTTCCGATATAGATTTTAACATTCTAAAACTTAATGTTGATTGACATTTACATTCACTAAAGTCTCTTACGGCCGAATACTGAAACGATTTAATGAATCAACGTCTTAAATGATAACGACACAATCAAACTCCAAATTCCATTTATTTTTTAACTTATCAGATCATGTGCGATGCTTGCCAAGAGAAATGTTTAAAATTCGTTTCAGTATCAAGCTATGTGAGAAAAGGTTTTATCCACATTTAATACAGAAGCGTATACGGTTGCATGCACGAAGTGTGAACGGCCCCTTTCAAATGTTATCAGCAAAGAATGCGACCATCTGATATTAATATGCAAGACAAGCCCAAAGGTATTCGAAAGTCGGTCGAATGCTATCATAAAAATAATAAACATTACAAGATAATGTGCAGGAACTAAGCTAAAACATCTAGAATATCTACATTGCTTGCAACATAATCTTGGAACCTATTTATGCAATACCTCGATTACTCGTAAGATAGGCAAAGAGAATGTGAAAAATGTATGGTCATTACAGTAAATTCTCTATTACAAATTTTGCAAAGCATAACGCTTGGAGTCCATAGGCAAATAGTCCCCATTAAGAGGCTTTGAGTCTAAATCAGCGGGTTGACTTCACACATATCTTTCCATCTTACTAATATTATAAATGCGATTTAGATGGATGTTTGTTAGAGTTTGCAGCCTAAACTGCTTAACGGATTTCAATGAAATTTGGCATAGAGGTAGAGCATAGTCTGGAAGAACACATAGGCTACACACTATTGTTTTTTTAATTCCACGCGGACGAAGTCGCGGGCGAAAGCTAATTACTTATATATGTAGATTGAATCACATTGTTTTCTTTTTACCGCAAGGACATCGGGTAAATGTACATACAAAATTCGTAAAACACATTGATATAACCCTGACCGATGGTCTTTTTGGCTACGTGAAGCAAAACATGCTGTCTCAAATTTTGCTAGAAATAGTTGAAAATTTAAGTATATCCTCTGTAGTAGAAATACTTGTTATACATACAATGTTATGAATCATTCCGTCTGTTGGTATAGGGGTGGTGGTCGGATGTAATAAAAATGTATAAAAACAGTACCGTGTTTCATTACTATATTCTGACGTAATTTACTTGGCACAGTTTAGTAAAATGACTGCGTTGAAACATACAATGAAGTCGATTCAAAATATAATCTGTCGTGAGCTATATGTGACGCGTAGAATTAAAAAAAAAAACAAAAGTAAGTATGTGTTCATACAGTGATACATTCAGTAGTTTAGGCTACAAACTAACATCCATCCGTATAAATTTTCTCATTTATAATATTAGTAATATTTACCTTTCCCCGCGACTTCGTCTGTACGGAATTGTATTCACATTGTATGTAATGACTAACTGTTCCCGTTCGACTTCATCCGCATAAAATTATAAAAAAATTATT